ATAATTGAGAAGGGTAAAAAACTAGGGGAATGGAATACTAAATCCATTTAATATTATAATTGAGAAGGGTAAAGTATATAAACTAGGGGAATGGAATACTAAATCCATTTAAGCAATTAAATGCCGAGTTCAAATAGTTTCTACTCAACCTTTCGGCGTGGCACTTTTGGTTAGTCAATACTGTTGTTCTAAGAATCTTGTTTCTTGTTTTCCATTTTGTCTGCCTTTCTATTTTGTTAAGTATTTGATGGCCAGGGATCACAATGCTTGTCGTTTAATTGTTAAGACAAAATTGTTCAACGAGCATTACCATATTTAGCTTCCAAGCGGACAGAGCTTTCTTCTTACTAAGTTCAAATATACCAACACAAACGTAAATTTTCACCATACAGAGAAACAGTTATATTTTGTGTTTCTCAATTCCCTAGCCTATTTAAATGCTCAAGATCACCATCTTTCTGCAACTTGGTTAGTGAAGGAAAAGTATTTTATTAGATCCCAAATCTCCACACTTCTTCGCACACAAAATAAGTTACTAATACCCCTATTTATAATAGTACTGTAGACATCAAAATTTTAACGGATCAAGCTAAATCATAAATTCAAGATCTTACAAGATTCCTGAAATCATAGGAGTCTATCAGGGTTTCTTGGAAGTTAGTCTACCCTAAACCTTAATGCACACCTATATAAAGGGATACATATTCCCTTGAAGAGGCGTCTCAAAAAAAATCCCATAAATTCTCGGAATATTCACAAAGGGATCAAGGTATAAAATAATGTCGTGATCAATAGATGTTCTTCTTGATAATCAAATACTTCAAGAAGAATATTCATACAATGATCGACTTTCATGGAGATTAAATAATCCAGAGAGGTCCGTATCATCCTACAACAACAACAACAACAACCCAGTAAAATCCCACAAGTGGGGTCTGGGGAGGTTCGTATCATCCTATGTTCGAGAATACGTTGATCCAGCCCTCGAATCTCGGAGAACAATTCGAAGGAAGAATCAAGGGATAAACAGAGTTGTAACTCGCAATATTTATCAATAAAATCACTTTATTCTTTTGTGATTGCAGTTTATTTTCGTATGCTGAAAATTTATTGCAAACAAATTCATTTGTAGACACTGAAATTTTAACAGATCAAGATAAATCCTAAATTCAAGACAACTATTTTATTAAGAGTTTATTAGGGTTACTTGGTGGCTACTCCACCCAAAGCCTAAGCCATGCTTATAAATAAGGCTACATATGTCCTTCAAAGAGGATCTCAGCAATTCCATAAACTCTCGGAATATGCACAAAGAAATCAAATATGTAATCTCTGAAATTCCATGAAACTCTTGGAACATTCATTAAGAGATCAAAGACATGTCAAATATGTCTTGCTTAAAGTCCTACGTTCGAGAAATACGCCGTTAAGGCCCTCGAATCACGTAGAATAAATCAGAGGGAAGAAACAAGGTATAAATGGAGTTGTAACTTGCAATGTTTATCAATAAAATCCTTTTTTCTTTATAGTTGTTTGTGATTGCAGTTTTATTTTTCTGCCCAAATTTATTACAAACAAATTGGCACGCCTAATGGGACCAAATCTGCCCTTCATTTCTTCTCTCACAGTGAATAGAATGTGGTGTCTTCTTTGCTAGTACTTCAAGCCTCGTCTACGACGATCTTGTAAATCTACGCTCCGACAAGCCTTGAAGTAAGGGGCATTTGTAGACAACAAAATTTTATCGGACAAATCCATATGAAATTTGGATAAAATCCTAAATTTAAGATACTACAAGTAGAGTCCATCGAGGTTTCTTGGAGGCTACTCTATTTGAAACCCTAACTTGGCTACCTGAAACTCTAGCTTGGAAGGTACTCTACCCAAAACCCAAGCTATACCTATAAAATGGGGGCTACATATTCACTTTGAAAACATCTCGAAATTCCATAAAAATTCATGGAATATTCACAAAGACATCAAATATTGTCTTTCTCAAAACCCCCAAAAGTGATCAATGGATGTTCTTCCTTTTCCTGGGGATCAAATACATCCTAAGAAAGTTCGCATCATCCTACGTTCAAGAAATACCCTGGTTAAGCCCTCGAATCACAGAGCACGATCTAGAGAAAAGAATCAAGGGAACAAACAAAATTGTACCCGCGTCATTTTATCAATAAAATTATGTTTCTTCATATTTATATTGTGGTTGCAATTCATTTTTGTATCACAAATAATTTGTTGCAAATAAATTGGCATGCTCAGTGAGACCAGTTCTGCCCTTCATCTCTTCCTCCTGTAAATCAAAAACTCCAAGTTTCAAAATCATTTGTTGCGATGGTCGAGTACTTCAAGTCTCGTCTTCAAGTTTCGGCAAGCCTACACCCTGACAAACCTTGAAGTAGGGGGCATTTGTAGACATCGAAATTTTAACAGATCAAGCTAAATCAAAAATTCAAGATCCTACAAGACTCTTGAAATCCTAGGAGTCTATCAGGGTTTCTTGGAGGTTACTCTACCCTAAACCCTAATGCACACCTATATAAAGGTATACATATTCCCTTGAAGAGGCGTCTCAAAAAAAAATCCCATAAATTCTCGGGATATTCACAAAGGGATCAAGGCATAAAATAATGTCGTGATCAATAGATGTTCTTCTTGATAATCAAATACTTCAAGAAGAATATTCGTACAATGATCGACTTTCATGGAGATTAAATAATCCAGAGAGGTCTCTATTATCCTATGTTTGAGAATACGATGATCCAGCCCTCGAATCTCGGAGAACAATTCGGAGGAAGAATCAAGGGATACACAGAGTTGTAACCCGCAATATTTATCAATAAAATCGCTTTATTCTTTTGTGACTTAGTTTATTTTTCGTATGCTGAAAATTTATTGCAAACATGTACAAAACATATTTCAACTACAAAAAATGAAAGTCTATTCCTATAGTAATTCTGACTACAAATTCTATTTAGGTATGAGTCAAATAAACTTGCAAATACCAAATCCTAAACAAATGAAGTTTCCTACTACAAATTTGAATTAGTTTTCCAACAATTAGACTTATTTTTTTGCTTGAAATTAAATTAAAAAAAAGGTTGTTTTTTTTTTTTTT